ACGAAGAATTGCTTGATGGATTCCAAGTTCCGCCTCAACCAAGAAAAACTTGCTTGTTTCAACTTCCATGAACTTCTCAATCTTCTCAAATTTATGAGAATCCGAACTCACGAAAGTGGTCACAAGATCTTCGTGTTTGGTGATCTTGTCGGGTTGTTGCTGTTATTGATACCCTTGCCCACCTTGCGGTTGATGCTGTTGTGAGTGAAAGTTTGTGGCTTGAAATTGGGGCCTTGGTTGAGGAAATTAAGGGTCTTGGTTGATATCCACCGGAGGCCCTTGAAAACCTAGTGGCCTCGGATTAGCTGTTATGCCCATGAAAAGGTCGGATGGTTATGCCACCCCGGGTTGTATGTGTTGCCAATGTAGTCAAAATCGTGATTTTAGGAAAAACCAAAAACTGAGGTAAAATCGGAATCGTAGATTAAAATCGTAAAATCGCAAGATTTTAAAGTTCATATTAAAATAAACACTTAAAACACCAGATAGTAATAACAATGCATATCCTAAATATCAGTCAACCACATATAACTTAATTACTTCTCAAAATAAGCTTGTATGTTAAATAAATAAATCCATAGATTTATTCTTGTAAATACCATAAACACACAGATAAGCAACCTGAAACCTCATAGAAATAATTTAATCTAGTTAATAGTTCATAGTAGAAAATCACATAAGATTGTTATGATCAACATTAAGTACTCCCCTAAACATCATTATCCTCACTGTCACTCTCATCCTTATAGAATCCTTCTCTATTTGCTTGAGCAATGATATCATTATTCCCAGGATCACTCGAAGTACTTTCACCGTTAACCATATTTCCTAGATCACCATGATCTCGCAAAGGTGAATCATTGATTGATGCATTCCCTTCTTGATAGAAAATAAGGATGGGGATGGTGGTGCTCAAGGGTTTGGAGATGAACAAAAGCTTGCAAGGGAATGGGGATTGGGCGAATTGTGAGGGTGGTGGGGAAGAAACTACTAGCTAATTGGGAGGTAGGGAAAATCATTGATAAAAGGTGTTGTGTGTCGGTATGCAACAGAATAATGGATGAGGAAGAGGTAAATAAAGTTAATTAGGGTCGCCTATCGAGTTGGGGTTGTGTTGTTCATGATGCTGGGTCAGGGAAGTGAACTTGACCCGGTTTAGGAGAAAAACTCATCCTAACCAGCCTGATTTTTCTCAAATTGACACGAACCTTGAAATCTTATAAATCGTAGATTTTAAAGTTTTAAATCAGGATTTTAATTTTCAAAGATTTTATAGTAAAATCAGGATCGAAACCCATAGGTAAGATCGTAAAATTGTAAGATTTTAAGATTAAAATCGGGATTTTAACTACCTTGTGCGTTGCTATAAGGTTGTTGTTGTTGCCTCTATAATTTGAGATGATATTGACTTGCTCTTCCGGGGTAGTGGCTTCCATCATAATTTGGCACTCCTCCAACAAGTGGTTGGGGTTTGAACACCATCCACATACCATCACTTGGCTCTTCCCTTGGCTTCTATCCTTCAATAACACCTTGATCAACTCATCAATCTTTGCCTCAAGTGAAGGGCTTGCCTCGGTGGCATGAACTCCTTTCTCATGATTCCATCTTCCTCTCTTTGTCATGCCCCAATGATACCCCTTTGTCGTCATATCTTCAAAAAAAGTCGGTCATTTGCCAGGGTATCTTGTTGAGAGCATGTTCCTTTGACACAAGGAATCGATGAGCATATGATCCTCTTGGTAGAGACCGTTGTAAAAGTTTACAATCTTGAAATCTTAATCAAAACCATGGTGAGGGCATTAAAGGAAGAGGTCGGTATAGAGCTCCCAAGCATCTCTCAAGGTTTCATTTCCACTTGAGCAAAGTGAGCGATCTTTCTTCGAAACTCCACTGTATTGTAAGACAGAAAGTGTTGGATGGTTTTCCATGAATTGCTTGAGTTTGGATTCCTTATCATGTCATTTGAGCTTTTGACCTGGGAGGGAGATAATACTCTCTTTATCCTATATCGTCAGGGTAATCCACGAGGGAGTTAATTGGATTGATCTCCTAGATATAGGTTTGCCATAGGTTGAATAAATCACCACCCATCCATCACTTCACCATTTGGGTCCATCTCGAGGGAGTCCATCTCCTAACGATAAGGTAGCGAGTCGTTCGAGTTAAGATGTACTCAACATCGATCAACTGATGGAACAAGGGGGGTTCAAACCTAAGAGAGCTCACACCTTGTAATTAGCTAGGTTTGTTAGTTTAGTCTTCTCTATGAACTAAACCCTCTTTCCTCTCTATGAAGTACACCTTCTTCTCTTAGGTTGATGAACCCTAGGTTCTAGCTTTTGGATAAGTGTTGGTGTAAGTGACATATTCTATGTTTTGATTGATGAATTTATCTATGTGTTGGATGGTTTTTCAGCTTGAGTTTGGATTCCTTATCATGTCATCTAAGCTTTTGACCTAGGAGGAAGATAATCCTCTCCTCATCCTATATCGTCCGGGTAATCCCCGAGGGAATCGATTGGATCGATCTCCTTAGTATAGGTTTGCCCTAGGTTGAACAAAGCACCACCCATCCATCACTTCGTCGTTCCGGGTCCGTCCTAAGGGAGTACATCTCCTAATGGTAGGGGTCGTTTGGATGGGTTTTTTATGAGGTGTGGTATTTGGTCACAAATAACTCATTATTTGGGATTGTGGTATTTGTGTGTTATATATGTGTTAATTGATTTTAAATAACTCATTTGGATGAAGAGTTATTTGATATGTGGTATTCTACAACAAAAGGATGAAAATACCACTATGCCCTTAATACATACAACCCAAGTTTGCACCAACCCCTCTCTTTGCCCAAAACATTCATCCCAAGTTCCCAATTGCATACTAATTGAGAAAACAGAGCATGAATCAAACGGAATAAATCCCCTTCTTCGTATCCTTTTCACCATTGATATTCTCCCATATACATTCTTTTCACCAATCATACTTCCCCTTCTTCTTCGTATCCTTTCAGGAAAAACAGGAATCTTCAATTGATGATGATTTCCCTCTCTCCCTCTATGATTCCCTTTCCCTATCTACCGAATAAAGCTGGAGAGAACGAGAAGAAGAAAGCCAGATGATAGCTGACTAAAAAAAACGGTATGAGAACAAGAAAAGGGAGATAGATCCAGATCCGTCGCCAGTTTCAGGACTGGAGCTCCCAGCAGCTGCGGGAGACACGACGGCGACGAATTCTTGCCCGAAGTATCTTCTCTTCTCCCCCAACCTGCGCATGCATCGCCAAATGGAAACCCCCCTTTCGTATATGCTTGAAACCCTAAAATTCTCAATTTCATTATTCTTGCCCAGATGGAGATGACCGATGGAAGCTGGAAGTTGAGAGGAGCAAAGGGGGAGAAGAAAGACGATGGCGTCGTCTGTGAAAAAAGAAAGAGAAACAATGGAGAGAGAGGAGAGAAGGGGGCAGAATTGTGATGGAAAAGTTATTAACGCGGTATTTAGAAATAACAGGGGGTAGGGGTGTTATTCTAAATAACCCATTTTGCGTTATTCTGAAATAACTCGACCCCAAATTAACTCGTTTTCTCTTTGTGGAGCCAAACAAGTTATTTCGGTTCAAATAACTCATTATGAATTATTTAAGCCAAAATAACCCACAAATAACCCACGTAAAAACCTCATCCAAACGACCCCGTAGGGTAGTGAGTCGTTCGAGTTAGGAAGGTACTCAACATCGATCAACTGATGAAACTAGGGGGATTCAAACTTAAGAGATCTCCTACCTTGTAATTAACTAGGGTAGTGGTTAGCTAGGTTAGTTAGTTTAGTCTTCTTAATCACTATTCTAGGTTAGCTAGAAAACAAAGCCTAAACCTGGCGTAAGGTAAGTCTAGATCCTCTTGATACAGTAAATTTTATTACTTGCTTACCCTACACTACATCTGGTCTTCGATTATACTTGGTCGTCAATTGGGAATGTTGTAGCTAGAGCGAACCACTATCCATTATGAAAGGCCATCTTATAATTCTCATCAATAACAAGAGTCATGGAATTCCCCCAAACAACATAGTTTCTTTTGTGGAGGAGTTGTGAAACCAAACATTGCCCCCGATTCTCTAAAGGGTGGATTAAGAATGGACTAGCTGGATTAGGAAGTCCAGAACGTTTATGCTTGAAGTCCAGAAAGTTTACATTGATTATCAAAGAATGTGAGCTTATATAGCTAGAAGCAACATACAATTGTACAGGGAGAGGTGGGAGAGTCGTTATGAAAAATTACAAAACCATACTTATTCTATCTTATTTGCATATTCTAACCGATAAATGCTACCTAGTCCTAATCTATTATTATATTTTGTCAGATAATATGATTATTATCCTCGAGTAACCTAAATGCTACCTAGTCCTAATAAATTGATAATATGATTATTATAATAGTTAACATTCATCGCGTACTTTCTAAATACTTGATCCTCAATTATATGTTAACAAAGCATATATCTTTCGTTTAAATTCGAACTTCAAATATTTTTGCACGCAAAAATGACCAACTACCGCATCATTGGTCAACGCATTGATCATTAACTATTAAGATTAAAAATTAACGGAGACAAAACATTGGGGCAAAAGTGTTATATTGAAAAAATTGAGGCACAATGACAAAAATCATATAGTACAAATCTTCAAATAATATTAACCTTAAAAAGGGCATTGCTATTCATTCGCGCTAAAATCTCTTATTCGTTCTCCTAACTAAATTAAATTTACTCTAATGCACGTAGTCAAAGGTACAGGCTTCGGGAGAAGAAAATGTTTAGTAATTTGGTTAATCAACAAAGGATAGACATGGATGAAAGAGACATTAAACAAAAAAAACATATGATTGAAACTGGGGAAGCCTGTACCTTTGACTTGTGCTGTTATATTTCTAATCCCAATTGTCCTTAAGTATCCTACCAATTTGCTAGAACAGATCACACAGCTTCTCCTCAAGAAACACAAAAGGCCTTCATAATTAACATCCCACTTTCTTCCTCCTTCCCTCCCTCCCTCCTCCCTATATTGCAAGTTGTCATTTGGTACCCATACAAAACCCACAAAAGCCAAAAGGAAGATCCATCAAAAGAAGATCATATCAGCAGACCAAAAATGGGAAGAGCACCTTGCTGTGACAAGGCAAATGTAAAGAGAGGGCCATGGTCTCCTGAAGAGGATGATAAGCTCAAGGAATACATCCACAAAAATGGGACAGGTGGCAACTGGATTTCTCTCCCTCAAAAAGCTGGTCAGTCATTCTACTTCCCCCCATCTTCATACATGAAAACCAAACACCTCCTAGCTACATATGTTTTCCTTGTTTCTATCAGTTTAAGGTTTCATGTGCCCAATGTCTTTCTTTCTTTCTTTCTTCCTCCAGGTCTCAAGAGATGTGGGAAAAGCTGCAGGCTCAGGTGGCTCAACTATTTGAGACCCAATATCAGGCATGGAGAATTCTCTGATGATGAAGACAAAATCATCTGCAGCCTTTATGCTAACATTGGAAGCAGGTAACAATATAATCCTTACCTTTTGCTATACTAAATCACATGTTTCTCCTTTCTCCTTTCTCCTAATCCTAACCCTAATCCTAAAAACAACAATTCCTGCTGCTGCAGGTGGTCAATTATAGCAGCACAATTGCCAGGCAGGACTGATAACGACATAAAGAACTACTGGAACACCAAGCTGAAGAAGAAACTCATGGGTTTGCTCCCCAATTCTTCATCCCACCATCAAAGAAAACTACCCTTTCACCATCACCAGCTAACAAATTATGGACCAATGATCCCATCAGACCAAATAACAATGATCCCATCCTCTGCTATGCAACAACATTACCAGCATCAGGTCAAGGAGGATGGAGTGTTGGTGTTTAGGACAGGTGGCACTGAACCCAGTTGCAGCTCTTCAGATGGAAGCTCCAACAACAACAACAACGCGGAGCAATTGCAGATCAGCAGCAGTTTCCATGATCAGCAGCAGCAGGGGACTGCTGCTGATGGTCATTATGGTACCAGTTTCAGTAATGATCAGAGTGGAACATGGAGTGACCAAATCATGAGAAACAACAGCTTGGAGGAATATGGTTTGGAGGAAATTAGGCAGCTGGTGAGCGCAAGCAGTAGTGGCAACAACAACGACACCAACAGCTTGTTACTGTTTGATGACAACAGGACAGAAGAAAGGCTTATGTTCTACTGATTCTTTTTTGGTGCTTCACTGATTATTGAAAAGGGTTTGAATAAGTGGGAGATTTGTGTTCCTCGGGTTGGGGGTTGAAAGATTCAAGCTTTCTTTTGGGGATAATGGTGAGGTTCTGTGCTGGATAAATTTGGTAACAAAAGAGGAAAGAAGCTTCTTCTTCTTCTTCCTTGTTCTTTCTGCTACTGTTGTATTTTCTGCCTTTTACTTCTTCTTTTTTCCCTTATTAATTGATGTATTATTTCATAGTATATGGTAAATATATAGTATTTGTTATTTTCAATGTACACAGAGCATTACTGCCATAAAATACAATAGCAGCAAGTTATTGTCAATGTAGGGAACCCCACAAAACGAAGAAAAATGGATAAATGGAAACAAGAGACAAAAGTTTGATGGAGTGCCTAGCTACTAAAAATGAAGCTAGAAATGTATTGTATTTGTAGTCATTGGCATAGCTAGGAAGATATTTTATTGGGTCGAAAGTTTGGAAACCGCAATTGTTTTTGTGAGATGGTTAGTATAACTTTTTTTTAGTAAAAATTGTTAGTATACTTGTATTGTTTAGAATGCGAAGTTTACCTTTTATTTTTTTAGTAGACAAAATACATGGATTGTTTTTGTGATGTGACAGAAACTATCACTCAAAATGAGTTATTGTCATATCTCAGTTTTTAGCTAAGATTGTTGAGTTGAGATTGTTTTATCTCAACATTTAGCTGATGTGACACAAACAATCACAAATACCAAACATTGTATTATACAATATACAATGCATCAAATTTATCAATACATGTATAATATTATACATGCGTTCACAAAAATACATCTATTTAACAATCGCAACTTTCAAATGACCCCTTAGTGTATGTGGGCAAGTTCATCATTCCAAAATTCTTTTTTCCTCCACATTCCACTATGTAGATTGCCCAATATTTATAATCTATCTTATTATAATTATCATGGTTCAGAAAAATGCGTTTAAAATTACGCTTAGATGCCTAGGCGCTAGGCAACACCAAAACGTCTCACCTAAGAGTTACACAGTGAGTTAAGAATCCAGAACGCAATGGCGAAGTATGGTGAGAGTTAGATGTGGCCTAGGTGTTATTAGGTTGAGGTAAGAAGTCAATATCAAAATGCGAGAAATTAAAATAATGTACAAATAGAATATTTTTGGTCAATATATTCATCAGCTCAAGAATTTTATGACCATTGAGCTATGAATTTATTTCTTAGTGTTAAGTATTAAGCAAGCTATTAATCATTTTAACTAAAGTAAAAATATTGTAAAACAACCATTTCATTCATTATTTATAATTAACTGTTATTTTTGCTTTCAGTTTTTAGGCACGCTTAAACAACATCTAGGCAAACCAATTTCTAGGCAAGGCCCCAACGTCTTCCTTACCCCTATCACCTTTTTGAACCTCGATGATTACAATGTGTTTGCCTTTCATCAACACTTTGTAAAAACAATACAAAATTTTTAATTTGTTATCGTCTCGCCTCGATAAGAAATACAAAACGTATTTGTTTAGCGGTCTTTATTAATAGTCTAGCAGTAACTTGCTTCATGAATCTGGGCCATTACCGTTGAAGAAGAGACTTTTTGTGCTGGTGTGATTTAGCTATCCGTTTAAGAAAAGAAAATTGAGGTTGATGTTGATCCTTATCTCACTTCTTCAATAAATAAATAAAACAACAGGGAAGAAGATGGTATATTTATAGATACCATTATATTTCATGGGTCTAACTCTAAACCTCCCTCGACATGATCATTTTATTATTATTAATATTATTTTAGGACGAAGCAAGCAACAAGCAAGTCACTCAAAATGCCAAAAGTTGACTTGACATCTTCCGCATGGGGTTATTAACTTGAAAGGGGCTTGCTTGAGTGAATTATAGATAAATTAATGTATTCCTTATATAAATTTAAATTACTTCTTACTTTAACTTCTTTGGACTTAATTGACATAGTGAGTATTGTGTTAATTTACTACTTTATATTGAACATATTATAGGTTAGCTTTTTAGTTAAGATTGTATTTTACTCATTTATATTGAACATATTATAGGTTCGCTTTTTAGTTAAGATTGTATTTATATAAATTTTCATTATGAAAACAAACGCATTGTAAATTTATGCAATTTAAATGTTAAAAAATTTTTGGCCCTCGATCTTCAAATTCTGACGTTGTCCTTGACCACCACCACACTTATATGCTCGTGATCCGGTCCTTGAGACAATGCATCGGGTATAGTTAGCTTGCTAACCCAACAATGGGTTGGAAAAACGACATCCCTGTATATTATGCATTTTATAGAATTTAATACTCGTATTAATTATACATTACTACATTAGGAATTAAAAATTCTTATTAATTATTTTTTTCAAATTTAAACCTACAATAAATAAAATTCTTTCTCCCTATCTCTCATTCTTCCTTTTTCAGCAGCCTCCAACCACCATGCTTCCTCTGACCGTCACACTTTTTTGGTGAAATCTCATCGGCAGACTCCCTCTGACCACCCTAAAAAATGTATCACTGCACTGATACAATCATACAACTATCATTGACCGATAGCGTTACCTGTACACTGATACAACTACCATTACACTAATAAAACTACCAGTGCACTGATAACTCCATGCATTTATTACTTTTTGTGAATTAAAAACCTCATTATTTATTACTTTCCTTTCCCCATGGGAGATTTCATTTCCTTAAATACAGATTCCGCCCAACAGCCCAAAATGAAAAAGATCCCTTAATTACTAGTGGCCGTTAAAATGGGTAGACATTCTATCTCACCCCAATGCATCGACGGATGTGGCTCACCCCAATGCATTGGGTGCACTGAGAGGACAAAATCACATTACGACACGTGCTGAAATAAACATTGAGACCAACACAAGAATAGTAAATAAAGTGAAATAAAAACCACCCATTGAGAATTTCATGCGACATGCACCTTTTAAGTTTGGAAATTTCTAAAGTTTTTACTTTTTATTAATAGTGTTATGCCAAATGCACATTATATTCAGAAGTACTCTCGTAAGCGTATTTCGTTATTTAGCTTAGCATATGTCTGACGTACGTTAAATTCACCATACTTAGAGTGAATCCCATTATTTAGATAATAAATTAACCGGATGAGAATAATACATCAAACAAAATATATCAAATTATATCTATTACATGTGATGTGAACAAAGACATATATTATAGGTAGGGGTGTCAATTCGGGTCGGGTTCGGTTACCCAAACCGAAACCCGAAAACCCGAAACCGACAATCACTGAAAACCGAACCCGAACCCGATAAGGACTTGCGGGTTCCGGTTACCCGAAATCCGAAAATTCCGTAACGGGTTCGGGTTCGGTTAAAGAAAAACCGAAACCCGAAAATCCGAACGCCTCAGAATACGGGTTGAGTTCTATTCATTGGAGGGTTTCAGCCGGAACCCGAAAAACCAATAAGCAAAATCGAACCCGAAATGGTAAAACCCAAAACCCGAAACGAACCCGAACCCGAAAAACCAAAAATGTATATAATCGGGTCGATTTAGGATATACCCGAAAAATCGAACCCGAATGGCCACCCTAATTATAGGTCAAGCGTAGACCAACGGCTAGTGACTAGCCAATATACAAGGGAGAACTAAAGAACAAGAGGTGGGATTAGCCAATGGCTTGTAAACATGATCTAGGGCGAGATTTTCCAATTTCTATTTTAAATTGCAGCTCATTATACTAATTTGTAAGTGAGATAATTATATTGGAGAGCATGAGATTTTCAAATCTTCGTTTTGTAATTGATTAATTAAAGTAATATATGGTGGATGATAGCTTGGCATAGGTAAGGTGACACATGGGAACCCTGTTTCAATTATTGACAAAACCTCTGATTAAGACTTTTACAACACTTTAATTAATGAGGCGTGGAAAAGGAGCAGCTGCAGCACGGTAAAATGTAGAATTAGTAGAAAGGATTACGAAGAGGGGTGAATTATAAATATCGAGGTAATTAATTTTAAAAATAATAGGAACTCTCATATATCTATATTGGAGCTGAGAAAAGGGGTAATTAATAGTTGATTATATGAAGGTAATGATGCTTTGGCATTGGGAATATCAGCAATTGGGTGATGAGTTTTTGTCGCTTTTGTCTTGTGACGACTAACTTTAATTAATTTAATTATGATTATTATTGAGAAAAGGCTCTTAATCATTCATGGGTGTTTGAAACACGAAGCATTGACCTTGCTCACAATTTTGTTTGGTTGTGAGGGTAAAATATTAGTTATTATTAGTTTAATAGTGGAGGTTGCCTTCCCCAGCTCTAGGTGTTATTTAGAAAAAATTCAAATGTGTGAACGTACAGTATGTGTGTGTTTGTGTATATTTATAAATAAAACAAAGCATTTTCCAGGAATGTTCATTGCATTGGTAGTGGAGTGCAAAAGAGGTCAAAAGTAGTAACACCTGCGGAAATGGAGAAGAGAGTTCTATTTTGCCTGCCTACTACATTAAAACTATTTACCAATTTATTAAACTAGCTTTTACCCGATCCGTTGGTCGGATTAATTTCATTTAATTTGCTATAATTTATGTTAATCAATTGATTCATATATTTAAATGATTCACTCTTTTAAATAACTTATATATAATTAGAAAGTAATTTTTGTGATGATTATTGTTTGAGACATTTCATATAATTAGTTTATAAATACTTTTTTGTACATAAGATCATCATAACATACAAATTTATATATACTGTTCATATTTAAGAAGAGAATTTTTCCACTTTTTATTATCCACATAAATAACTTAAGAATGATTTTTTGATGAAATTCAGTATTATTAACATATTAAACTTACCTGGCAAGCACAAAAAATAGGCAGCAAACGCTGAAAACCTATGGAACATGCCAAATTTCTAGCTACTGAAAGCAAGTTTTGGATTATTGTTTGCAACTTTCAAGTTCTTTGACCATTTAACCTTGTTAATTGTTCATAAGGAGAAGTTGTAACACACTTTGGTTGAAATCATAACTAACCAAGACCAAACTTATATATAACAGGATGGTAAAAAAGAATATGGGAAATTCCAAAGAATTAAGCACCCTGCTAAGTCTGACTGCCTAAGAGATTGATAGAGTAGGAAGTGCTAGA